TAATATATTAGTAGTAGTATTAGTGTAAATGGTATTATAATAATACATATATGTATATATAAATATAATAATAATATAATTATATATATATATATATATATATATATATATATATATATATATATATATATATATATATATATATATATATATATATATATATATATATATATATATATATATATATATATATATATATATATATATATATATATATATATATATATATATAAAATTTATATATATGCAACTGGAAGGTGACGTAGCTGCATACACACGCCAACACACTCTCGCACAAACTAAACATCACACACCTGCATGGCCATACTGCAGCACTTGCCCGTGACAGTACTCGCTTCATACAGCGTGTACACAAGGATAGCCACCCATGTACCTAGTTCAGCAACAATGGATGTTCGCATGGCAATTGGAGCGTCCTCGTGCACTACAAATGGGCCGATGATTCGTGTACAACAACCAAATGAGCGAGATATATGTATGTATATATGTATGTATGTATATATATATATAAATGGTGCGTTAATGCTGGAGCCAACGGCAGGCTCGCGATCACACGTGGTTCTGAAACCTTGAAAACCCTATACCCTAAAAACCCTAACGCCTTGTGAATGAGTATGGTGTGACGTGCCGATACATTTGGGGTAGACACAGTACAACAATACGATGGACAGTTGATGCAAAAGCCCCCATCAAACAAGGAGAGCTCTACACCGCGTGGCGGGTAGGTCGCTGGTTTCACATACATGACAGAAGGAAGTAGCCGTATATACAGATGTTTCACATACATGACAGAAGGAAGTAGCCGTAGATACAAATCTCCACTGAGAACTGAAGGAAAGCCAGCGAGATGGGCCAACCGAAACCTGCGTTAAGCGTGTCCACTACTCGTTGTATCTGTATCGCTTCCTGAGGTGCAGGGATATGATAGACAGACGTGTTCTGAGTTCTAATGCCCTGAAGTGTATGGATAGATCATAGGTAAGTATTCTCGATCAGTACTGAAGCACCCAAATAAAGAATCCACAAAAACGATGCTATCACACCATTGTAGACACTCACACTCAGAGAAAGACTCAAACTCAGACTCAGACTCAGACTCAGACTCAGACTCATGTACTGTACTTTCGGTATATCAGCCGGACTGAAGTTTCGAAGGCTTATGGATGAGACGGCAGTGAATGATACTTTCTAGGAACGCCCATGCACAGCTTCATACGGGCTGGTGCATAGATACATATCATCGCACCAGAACAATGACTATGTCATCAGGGAATACACACGCCTAAGTACCGAGCCCTCTCAATGGCGGCCACACTCAACCATTCGGAGGCCCAGGTCATACCCTCATACAGCCCATGCACATGGAACCCAATGCGTTTGTAGTGGATAGAGTGCATACACAGGCACAGACAGTTAGCACTGCGCCGCGCGAATAGAGATAGGCGAAGACTTCCGCCACACCACACAGAAACTGTTACTATGCGCGACACTTTATCATCCCAGTACCGAACTTCCACACCTTCTTCATAGCGGCCAGGCTGAACTTCCGGAGGCCTATGCGATGTCTCCACCCGTCCACATAGAACCCAATGAGTTTGCAATGGATGGCGTATACAGTCACTGTCAGCCCATACACAGCATCGCACGCGAGCGACGCGAAGATCTTGGCCAGAGAGAAGGCGTCGTTGAGAGATGGGTCGCCATGTGGGATGAGCCGCACTGGATAGGTAGGTATTAAAGGTAGGTGTATTGGGTGGTGATGTGAATATATAGGAAGCGTAGTGTACAGAAAACATCAATGTACTTATTTTAGTTGTCTTCCTTTGTGAGGTGTATAGGTATTGAATGCAGCTACACGACAAACTACATGAGTTGTATCCGCTATTAAATATGTATAGCATTTCAATGATACTTATACTAATCAATGCACGTGCATGTAAACAAATCTCGATATAGCTCTCTATCTTTGAGGCCGATGGCCCATATGGGCGTATCTGTAACAGGACGCTCGATGCCCTTGAACGTTGTATGCATTTGTCGGAACGAATCACGGTGTCCGGATTGTTAAATAAATGCATACCTACACCAAATACACAACTACGATCAGACTCTGCGCAGCAGGGTAGGTATACTATCTACCAAGTCACTACCATAGACCTGTCCATGTACCCACCTTCGTGCGAGTACAGGAATGTAAGGGAACTCGCCCCACATCTCAAACACATCCACAGCAGTCCAAACCACAGGTTTTGTCGCAGCACGCGCGCCAGGTGCATCTGTGACAGGTCACCGTACTCGGTGGTGTTGTCTCGACTGCAACAAGTCCATGGTGGTGGTTAGTACGAAGTTCATGACCCAAATTACAAGCCAGTACGCTCTAAAGAAAATTCATCCTGAGCTCGTGTGTGTTAGGGGGAATACTACAATACCTTTGTACGGGTTAGACATGGTACTACAACCATATCTCCATCACGGCCTACTAAGGTCTTGTATAAATACGATATTAACGTTTTCAAACTGGGTCCAGACGACACGTATATCATGACTAGCCACAGAATACACTATCACGACCCCTCCCCAACACACACAGCACTTCGGTTGTTCAAACCCACTGAAGAACATAAGGCCCTGATAATATGCGACATTAGAATAAGAGGTGTTCTAAATCATAAGGACATAAGGCCGTGGTAATATCCGACATTAGAATAAGAGGTGTGTTAAATTATAAGGACATAAGGCTTTGGTATTTTGCGACAATAGAATAAGAAGTGTGCTAAATTATAAGGACATAAGGCCCTGATAATATGCGATATTAGAATGAGAGAGGTGCTAAATATTAGGACATAAGGCTCTCAAAATATGCGACATTAGAATAAGAGGTGTGCTAAATTAGAAGGACATAAGGCTTTGTTATTTTACGACAATAGAATACGTGGTGTGCTAAATTATAAGGACTTAAGGCCCTGATAATATGCGACATTAGAATGAGAGGTGTGCGAAATTATAAGGACATGAGGCTCTGATAATATGCGACAATAGAATAAGAGGTGTGCTAAACCATAGATGCTAACCCAACTAGCGGGGTCCACCTTTGACTTGGAAACTGCAAGAACAACTTCCAGCTATGTCCCGTTGACACACCTTCTAGTGGATTGCAGAAACACGGCTTCAATCAGTCCTCGGGAGGTGTCTATGCCGTTCTTACTACGGAAGTAGTAGACGCCCAAGACATACGACGCGAGATGCAACGCGGGTGGGAAGATATACTTGGACACCAAACCGGTGCATTTGGTGTTGTAGATGCAGCCCATAAAGTTATAGGTGTAGTTATAGCAGAATAACGACACTATCAGCAGAATATATACGCCGCTCAAGAAGTTTTGCAGCGATTGTGGCACAAAGGCAAAGGGCTGTGGAGGTGAAGACAGTGTGAGATATGAGCTATACGTTGCTAAGATACCGATGGGTCAGCGAAACAGGTCAATAGTAAGCAGATACAGCGACAAATCCGACATGGTGCAAATTATATCAGAACAATACCAGAATAATACCAGAAGAAGAAGAAAAATAGCGAAACAATACTAGAAGAATAACAGAATAATACCAGAATAATACAGAATAATACCAGAATATTACCGAATAATACCAGAATAATACAGAATAATACCAGAATAATACAGAATAATACCCGAATAGTACAGAATAATACAGAATAATACCAGAATAATACAGAATAATAGCAGAATAATACAGAATAGTACAGAATAATACCAGAATAATACAGAATAATACCAGAATAATACAGAATAATACCAGAATAGTACAGAATAATACCAGAATAATACAGAATAATAGCAGAATAATACAGAATAGTACCAGAATAGTACAGAATAATACCAGAATAGTACAGAGTAATACCAGAATAATACAGAATAATACCAGAATAGTACAGAATAATACCAGAATAATACAGAATAATACCAGAATAGTACAGAGTAATACCAGAATAATACAGAATAATACCAGAATAGTACAGAATAATACAGAATAATATCAGAATAATACAGAATAATACCAGAATAATACAGAACAATAGCAGAATAATACAGAATAATCCCAGAATAGTACAGAATAATACCAGAATAGTACAGAGTAATACCAGAATAATGAAGAACAATAGCAGAATAATACAGAATAATCCCAGAATAATACAGAACAATAGCAGAATAATACAGAATAATCCCAGAATAGTACAGAATAATACCAGAATAGTACAGAGTAATACCAGAATATCAACAAAAAAATACCAGACAAATACCATACCAGACTAACACCAGATCAATATCAGAATAATACAGAATAATACAGAATAATTTATAAAAAATACCAGACTATTACCATTACAGACTAATACCAGATTGATACCAGAATGATACCAGAATGATACCATAATAATGCCATAATAACATCAAAAAAATACCAGACTAATACCATACTAGACTAATACCAGAATAATACCAGAATAATACCGGATCAATACCAGATTAATGCCAGACTAATACCAAAATAATACCTGCCAGCCCAACAAACTCATCGAGAAGGCGACAGGCGACACAACCAGCTCAGCACACTCGACCAACGCCATTGTCAAGGCACCGGCCTCCTCCACATTCTGCTCAGCGATCTCTACTGTATCGCGTTCTTGGCTGCGTAATAGTGCTCGAGCAGCTATGTTGTGATAGAGAACGCGTGTGCAAGGACGGTCACTTACTTGGAATTGTGTCTCGTAGTGAGATAACTGTTTGGATATAGTCTGTGAGTTTGATAGGGTCATATATGATTGATAATGGATTATAATATCTTGCAATAGCAATTCGAGCGCAGGGATATATTTGGTAACAATATATATCGACAAACAAACCCACAGATATGCACATACACAAACATACACAAATACACACACATAATATA